GTATTTACAGAGCTGCTCTCTTGGCACAAGAATCCAACTCCTGGACTCATAAGTCTTCAGAGCATGCAGATCAAGGTAGCTTCTTTCTGTGCTTCTTTAGAAAACAGCATGGACCAAATCCAACAGATACAGAGATCAAGCTGTGTTTGAGAGGTTTGTAAAGTCTGTTTGTAGTCAAACCATTGCTCGAGTCATGTTCAAAATGAAGCCATGCTTGGATCCAGTTTCTAAACAGTGCTGTTGCCAGCACTATGGCTTATGGTGATTTTGACTTGAGGAGACTGGTCCACGAACTTGAAGGAATATCTGATGGGACAGCAGCCATCTTTCAGTCTCCACATATATATCTGAAAACACTCAGGATTACCAGTCCCTAAAGAATCAACAGAAGGCAGAAGTGAAGGACTCAGAGATGAGACAGACCCTGCTCTCCTGCCAAGAACCAAACGCTCCAAGAAAATAGTGAAGTGTTACTGCAGCACTACACACATCAACTCTCATTCTCTGCTTGTACTAAGCTCGACTCAGTAATCTAAAGGAGTAGAAAACCAAAGTTATCATACAAGAAAGAGTAAGGTAAAGGGAAGTTTGGCACATCATTTTTCTTCATATAAAAGAATGTTTTTATATGTTACAGGGATAGTGGGGAAAGAAAGAAGCTGCAATAGGAAAACTAGAGGGTGCTTTACAATGACAAACTGAGCTCTTCCCACCACGTCTAAGCAAGTGACCTCTCCACTTAAACTCCTTGAGCAAAGCCTGTTTTGCATGTGCAGAGTCCCCTCTAGCTCATTTTACGTTTACTACAGTACAGCGTTTTATCACTGCTATATCTTTACTCCTGTGTACAATATGAAGCAAGTGAAGGTGCTTGCTTCTTCAAAATTTAACTAAAACAGCCTCCTCTGAGCTTTATGGATTTAAAGTCTCAGATGAGCTGGCAGGATCATAAAGAGACAATACAGATTTTTCAACTCATGCCTTAGCAGCAGGATGAAAAGGGGAAAACACAAACCAATTCCTAAGAAAAAACTATGAACCTGCAGCACTAGAATAAAAAAAATTCCTGAAGGATGATTGAATCAAATTCCAGACAACTCACGGCACATGAAGGCACACAGACATGAGACCTGCGGTGGCACAGGGACAAGAACCGCATCTCCTGAGGATGGCAGCCCCTGGCAACAAGAAGCACTTCAGTCAGCCCACACGTGTCAGTGGCCCCTACCAATGAGAGACAGCTACAGCTACAGAGATTCATTTTGTCCCACAGAGGTTTCCCTTCTGAGCAAGCCACTAAGGCAAGCAGAGCGTATGGAAGCTTTGTTTCATAAACCAGACAAGTTATTTATTCTGGAGCCTGCTGGGAGAGATATGACAAGAACAAGTGGCAGGCTTGCTTGTAGAGCTGAAGGCAGCAGTCAAGGAACACAACCACAACCAAAGGAGGGAAGAGGATCTTAAATCTGTAAAAATACTTTAAAGCAATAATCCCAAGCAAAAGTGAAATCAAATAGCACAAACCTGTATATCACTTCACCTTCCTCTTCCAAGAAGATCTGAGACAGCAGGGGTTGAAAAAGTGGTTCCTGTGAAGCATGTGTATCTTTATGGGTGGCTTCCAGTGCCTACGGGAACCCATAATTCTTTACCTGCCTTTGGCAGGCATCCTGCAGAAGGTTTTCTGTCTGACTGAAACATCCAGTGTCCAGCAGGTATAAGAAACGAATGAGACCAAAAAGCTATTTGCAAAGAGTTCCAAAAAATAAGGAGAGTCATCAAGAACATAGAAGCCAGGGAGGGGGGCTTAGGAAACAGAGAAGATACTAGATCCCCTAAAGGACAGCATGACAAGGGTGTCTCTGTTAAGTCAAGGGCAGAAAGGATCAGAAGAAAAGAAGAGCCATTTTCCCTCTTTTCCTGTACAGAATTACAAACTTATTTGAAGAAAATGAACTGTGAGATGATGCATGTAAAAAATATATTGCTCTACCACAACTGGTGATGGAAGAGTTATGTTGTGTATTTAGGCACACATCCAGAAAAAGGTGACTGCCAGTTCACAGTTATGAATCATGAATCTCAAGAGCAGGATAAGAGGCTACAATGTGCTTCACAGAACAAACCAGCAGCAATTAACAAAGAGAGCATCAAAACACAGCCAACTTCCAAGATGTCGATCAAAAGGTTTAAAGTGTGGCAAGACAAAGGAAAAGTCAAGAAGACAGGCACACCAAGGAAGGTCCATATAAATTTCAGACATCTGTGCACTGCTTTATTGTCTTCAAAAAATGATACTCACAGAACTACATCCTTTGAGGCTAGAAAAGACAACTACAGTTGTGAAAACATAGCTTTGGTAGCAAGAGAAGTGATTTAGTAAGCAAATGGCTTTAGCAAAGTAGATAGCAATACCAGGTTAGCAAGCATCGTAAGATCAGGTCCATGATTCTGTTACAAGATCTGTTAAAACATGAATTATTTCTCTCCATACTTTTCTAAAACCAGATAGGTAACCATGACTACCTCTCTTAGCTTTCAACAAATCTTTTAAAGGTTCACCAGAGACTTTTAAATGGTTAAAAAGTCATCTCCACTTGGGGAAAATTATTTTATTTCCAGCACTTAAAAGCCAAAGCAGACATTTCAAAGCATATTCAGCTCCATGGAATTATTTGTCTCCACATACACTGTTCACTGCTTTTCCTCAATACTTTTTATACACAGTTTCTCCTAACAAGGACTTGTTTTGGCTTTTCAGGGAGTGTCTTCTGTATTCAACTCTTTTGTTTAGAAGACTAAACCAAGGAAACTATGGGGAAATAAAACCAAATAAGCAGCAGGAACTCACCTGGTTACAGAACTGACACTGTAGGCTCTGTCCAAGTTTCTAGCTCTCGTCATTCCCTGTTTTGTAAGAGGTCAGTGAGAAGCTCTCTTCCATCTGTCTTGTCCTTTGCCTTTTCCAGCTTTCTGACTCCAACTATCCCAAGTGGGGCAGATCAGTAAGAAAACTTATTCAAAATGCTCCAAAAATCTTCAAAAGAGCCTCAAGCTGGCAGATGCTTCCTCCCAGATAACTTCTGCCCTACCTCCTGTGTTTCTGGCTACTAGTCTGTTGTGGTTTAATCCCAGCTGGTAACTAAGCACTACACAGCTGCTCACTCACTCAGCCCAGGTGGGGTGGAAGAGAGAAGTGGGAGAGTAAGAGTGAGAAAACTTGTAAGTTGAGATAAAGTAAGTAAAGCCAAAGTTGCACACGCAACCAAGGTAAAACAAGGAATTCATTCCCTGCACCCCATCCCCAGAACAGCAGGGTCTCATCACACACAGCGGTGACTGAGGAAGAGAAGCGCCATCACTCCAAACGTCCCCTTCTTCCTTCTTTTTCCCCAGTTCTACATTCTGAGCGTAAGACCATGTGGTATGGGACATCTCTTGGGGTCAGAGTCAGCTGTCCCAGCTGTGTCTCCTCCCAACTCCTTGTGCCCCTGCAGCCTCCTTGCTGGTGGGGTGAGATAAGAGGCAGAAAACGCCTTGACTGTGTAAGCCCTGCTCAGCAGTAACAAAAACATCCCTGCTCTATCAACACTGTTTCTAGCATAAATCCATAACACAGCCCCATACCAGTATTGTGAAAAAAAATTATCTCTCCCCCAGCCAAAACCACAACAGAGTCTCAGGTGCTATTCCAATCCACTCGTCCTATTTAATAAAGTACAGCTGAGATACTCTGGGCCATCACATGAAGGTACACTTTTGCCTTGCCCCCCTTGCCACAAACAAAAAGCTGGGTAACAGATAAAGAAAATATTGCGTACGCAGCATTTCAACAATATCAACAAAACAGAAAAACTGACAACAGTTTTTAGGAACTTACAGAAACTGGGATCCTGCTGGATCCAAACTTAATTTGGATAACCACTGAAAATTTCTGAGGTACTGCAGAGAGAGTATTTTCTAATTTTAATCTCCACTTAGGAAAAACAAAGAGGTGTTACAGCCCAAAACACAAAAGACAGTAACATTCAAAATGGTCTTTTCTTATTCCAAATGTATTTCAAAGTTTACCAAAACTTGCACAGGATCATCCAAACATGAAAACATCCAAATAGAAACACTCTTGAGACTTGCATGATGGATGGGCACTAATTAAAAGAAGTCACTACCTCACAGCTGCATTCCAGCAAAAGGAATGAAACTGGCTGTGAGTCAGTGTAGCAGGGGCTGAGCACAGAAAAGCTAGAGACAGTGACTGAGCAGCAAAAAGCATTCTTTCCCTTTTTGGTCCTCTTTAAATTTTCTTTATTTTAAAGAGTTACATTTGTGCTATGACTGACTCATTATGAAAAAGATATGTTAAACTGCATCTAAAAAAATAAAATAGCTGTTCTTGGAATTTAAAAATACAAAAAAGTCACTAACCAAGTGCTCCTTAATTGGGACCTCGAACATTGTGGATTTTTTTTCCCTTTAGCAGGGGAAGAAATGTGAATTTTAAAAGTGTATACTAAGCTGAGAGAGAGAGAGAGAAAGAAAGAGAGAGAAAGAAAGGAAAGAGAGAGAGAAAGAAAGGAGAGAAAGAAAGGAAAGAAAGAAAGGAGGAAAGAAGAAAAGAAAGAAAGTGGGATTGACTCATTCTCCATAAAGGGCAATTACTCATTACAGTGACATACACACTCATATGTCTGGCTGAACACACATTCATCTCTGCTGCTCAGATTTCCCTCATGCTCCTGTGAGTGCTGCATGGTCCATTTTAGCCAGGCACAGGCATTGGAATTCCGGTCAACCCCCAATCTCTCCAATTCCATAATCCCAGCACCTGACAGACACTTTCCAGCTGCAGTGGGACAGTCCTTACCTTACCCCTCCCCAGAGCAAAAGCAGAAGTGTGGAGAAAGTTCAGCTCAGCATATCTTCACTTCTAGTTGTTCCTCCTTAAGACTGTATCTTTATCTGGTTTGTTAAGACTCTACTAAGAAGTGGACGAGACAAGGTTTTAATCAAATGTAAGCAGTAACAACAGGTTTTATTCAAAACTTCCAGTAAAGAGGACCCACTAGTTTTGGAATAAAGATACTTAAAAGTACTACAGCTTAAGTGAATATAAAAGATCAAAGAGAAGAAAATAAACCAAGCAGTAAAAAAAAATAAAAATTAAAAATATATATATATTTTAAGTTTGAAATAGACCCATACAGGGATACTGAAGTCCTCCAAACAATTAACAGTTACTAGATTTGGCAAAACAAGGTTCTCTTACAAAATTAAAAGCCTACTTCTGTTACATAAACTGTATAAAACTGCTTAATAGTTAAAGAGCATTCTGTACAATTTTGTCTTGAAATACACAAAGCTGCAGCCTTCAAACTGCAGCAATTAATCATTTTGTCCTCTTCATGGGTAAAAGAAGCTTTGCAATTGTTTTGGGGGAAAACGACGAGGCAAAAATAGTCAGAATTAACAAGATGAAGCCACTATAAGAACAAATGCACAGCAAAATTCAGACCTCAGTTTAAACTAGCACGCTATGTTTACAATATATTCTACATTTCAGTTGTCATTTTCCCTCCCACTCTCACCTCCCCCCAGTTCAAATATTCCTAATTCCTTTATGGTCTAAATCTAATTATTTTCTAAATTTTCAAATACACCATACATACACTTAGCAAAAGACATACCTAGCATTCTTACAGCAGTATGGTCAGGACACAGTTTCAAAGATAGTACATAGTTTCTGAGATTAAGCCCCATGGAATTTTTTTTTTTACTTTTAAAGAGAACAGCAACCATCAATTGAGAAAAACGTTTTTAAGAAGTACTGAGGAGAGCCTGCAAAGAGCAGGCTTCACCAACATCGGCTCTTAGCTCCAGAGGACACAGGGGAAAACACGGATGTAAGGAAGAAGGAGAACCTCAAGAGCACCAGCTACAGGAAGATCCTTCGGGAACTCGGTCCCACACGCTGCGGTCCTGGTTCAGTCGTCCCTGTTGTACTAAGGCCAGCAAATCAACTTTGCCACAGCACGTTACAACATAAACTAACATCCTTTATACCAACAGTATGTCAGAGGGGTTTATTTATCTTGTTTTCTGAATCCAACAGTTGGTCACAGAAGTCAAGTATTTATGTGGCTCTTATTAAGCAGTTGCCAGTTCAGAGGGAAAAAAAAATAAATGTGTGTGTGTCTGACTCATACATCTTTCAAGTACATGCAAGGCTCAACTGCTTCCAAAATGCAGGAGTTTGGGGCCTTTTAAGACACTGAAGAGATAGGATTATGAGGAGAGCCCATCTGAGTAAGTACTTTATCCAGCCACTGGAGGGGACCATGAAGATGTATCTCTATCCAGCATGGAGTGCTCGTTACATCCTGGCGATGATACTCAGCTCCCCAACCCTGGAAACAGAATCATAAGTGAGGAAAGAAAAAAAAAATCACCTTATTTTATAATATTAAATATGTGAGAAGCATACTTCTTTCTTAACAAATTAGCTCTCAAAAGTCACTATCAGCAGGCTAGCATAACACCCTTGATGAACCAACTTTTATCACGTTTCAACAAGCAAACCAGAAGCTAAAAAAATAATAAATGTGGTGAAAGTATCATTTTGAGATCTCTTGATCTCTTGGAATGGAAGTCTTTAAAATCTTAAAGACATAACCTGTGGCAGTGCAAAATTTCACCATAGATCACTGCCAGTTGCCTCAGGTACTAGTAAAGATCCTGAAGAGGAGAGTAATAAAGTCTTCTCTGCCAAGACCAAAACCAGAACAAATTGAGGGAAAATGCTGCCAAATAGATCACCAAATTAAAAGATGAGGTCTAAGAGTGATGTGAAAGTAGGGGTGAGGCCTCTGTGTGACAAGAACCAAAGTGTCATTCTCTGGATGGACATAGTAAATTGAGCAGTGAAGTCAGAAACACTCCTTGGAGAAAGAGGGCATGGTCATTGCCCATGTGATCTCACGTTAAGAAAAGATAGGTTTTATTTCAGCTCATACCTGATTCAGTTACAGCAATTAGCAAAGGTATAAAGAGATATTTAAACATCGTTTTGTAATTCTAGTGGCAGGTCTGGAGACAAGACCTATGACAACTGCAGATGCAATTTGCTCTGCTCTGCATTAACCCCTAATGAGGGGATTACCCAGTTCCCAACACAGGTGGCAGCAGCTCTGAACATTGTGCAGTGCAACACCCAATACACAGGAGGTCCTGTTTGCTCAGGTAGCACCGCCATACAGCTCTGTGGGATGCAGAGCTATGAACAACCTATTCCATTTTGGGAATCAGATGTGCCTTAACACATCTGAAAGTTTCCATCCTCCTATCATGAAGAGCATTTCAGCATATTACCACCTTAATTCGATTACTCCCATATGTATGACCAGCCCTTTTATATCAGTGCCTATGCTGACAACTCACATCAGCCACATTACAAATCTTGACCTTACATGCCCTCCTAGAATGGAAAGGTTATTATTCCAAATAATTACTGCAGCTCTCAGTTTAGGAGCAGCTGGTCAATGTTTAAAGGGCTTATGTGAAAGAAACACCTTCTTCAAGTCACCCCAAGCTTTCAAAGTATGTGTGTCAGATGGATTTCTTTTCACAAATACAACTCCATTTCTGTAAGATCTGTCTCACACTTAACGAGCATTCCATACTTAAAATTCAGCAGCTATTAATGGGTTCATGGAGGGAGTTACTGGACCATTCAAAGTCACCACATTACAAAACAATAATTTATTCTGCTTATGAAATAATCTCAAGCAAATTTTCACATACCTTTACAAAACTCATACGGAGAGTGCACATCTTAGTAAGCTCATATACTGTCTCAAAGCCGTGGTTCACGGACTGAGCCAAAAGCTGAGCAAACTCTTGATTATTGAAAATCTTCAAACTGCAGCCACTGGGGATTTTGCAGACTGTGGTGGGATGGAACCCATGATGGTAGTTGCAGTTCCGACTTTGCACAAAAATGCTGCTGTCACTGAGACATTCAGCATACACTTCCCCACCAACATAATAGAGATGGACACCTGGGAGGAGAAGGTTGTTTAGGTAAATTCACACTGTGCATCTGTTTTTCATGCTCTTTCTCCACAGAGATTGGGGTTTCTGCTTAAAGAGATGAACATTACCTGCATATCAAACATTACCTGCCTTTAAACTTGATTTTTACTCTTCTGTTTCATCAGCAGGAGATTTGAAAGGAGGGTATCTTATATACGTATATAAAATAGAATATACAACATGTTGTATATTCAACAACAATAAACTAGCAAGCACTGTAGTTCTGATGAACTGCACTGGATACACTACATTGAATGGTTTGAAATTTTTCTCATCATATTTATGTAAAACAATAATTGGAAATGTGAGCTAAGAGAGTAGAAACCAAATTATTGCATAGTGTGTAGTTACTAAAGCAGCCCCAAGCTGGATTCTCTGGAAAACTCTTGAATGGTAATTTAGGTAGCAGGAGTTTTGTCAGCTAGCTTTAATTCCAGAAAGCTAGGGGGGAAAAAAGAAAATGGTACACACCAATTTTACAGTCCTTTCCCCTCCTAGTGCCTGCTCCCTCACCTGTAATCGATGGCAGCAAAGCCCCAGAAAAGCATCACACAGAGAACCTTTGTGTCACTAGGAGTCAATGCCAAAGGCTTTGAGAAAGCAAGAAAATTCACCTTTCTGTGTTTAAAAATGGTTTATTTGCTATTTAAACCTTTCACCTCCCACAATGTCACAAATCACAGAGGTGAACACACAGAATTAAAACACTTAACTGCACTCCAGTAAGAAAGCCTTGACTGTACTCTACCATGGAAGATTTTGCTGTTGATTATGTGTGTACCTGTGTGGGTACACATATACTCCCACCTGATCTGCAAAAAACATTTATAGCTATGTCTTCAAGTTTGAGATTTACTCCTCCTTCCTCAAAGACCAACAGCTCTGCATTGTCATCACTTGCACACATTGACTCATTCCACAGCATCCTTGTCTCCCCCATGCCCTGCTGCGGTACGTACGCAGTTAAGTGCTTCAGCAGAACTCTGCTCGCAGCTGGGTTATTTTTAACAGGAAAAAAAAATGAATGAGGTGTTAAATAAATACCCTGATACTTGGTAAGATGGATGGGGAGGAAAAGAAGGAAGAAGTATTAGCACTTGAGTGGCAGAGCACAGGTGTGGTGCACTGCTGAGAGCTGCACCGGTTCCCATGTAGAGGAGAGCTCTACACACCGCGAGCTCAGACTCAAGGAAAGGACTCGACTGTTCTCTTCAGTTTCAATTCCTTCCTCCTCTGAGGAAGAGGAAGATACTTCATGAATTGGCACTTACAACATCCAACCCACTGTTTGGGCATGCTGAACCCTCAACTGTCTCAGAAAATTTTGAGTTTACTAATAATGTAAATACCTAAAAAAAAATTGCCTGGCAGGAATGGCCCCTTGCAGGGGGCAATTTCAGTTTTGCCTGTCATTTGCATTACAGGTGAGTTCCCAGAAAAGAGGACTGCATTAGTCAGGCACAAACCAAAAGCTTTTCTCTTTTGCAAGACACTGTCACAACCACAGAAGGGAAGCACAAAATTCTCACTGAAAGAATCACCAGCCTGTGAAAAATGCATTTGGAATAAACTGTTCTAGGAGGTTGTCTCCCAAAACATGTTAGGATAGCTAATTTATGTTGGAACTAAGGGTAGCTAAAAAGTTTGGTGCCAAGAACCACAGTTTGCACTTCCATATACACCAATAATCAAGACAAATCAAGACATTTCATGCTGCCCTGCCTTACCCTCTCTTTGTAAATTAAGATTTTGATAGCCTTCAGGCAGTTATAAAATTGATTAAGGGTAAAAGCTTCCTGTAATTACACACCAGGTAAGAGCAATACCTCGTTTATAAGGCTAGGCCAGAAAATTATATGTTTACTGACACAAGCACTCATCCCACATACTAGGGGAGACCAGCTTGCTCTGGAGGCAAGTGGCCCAGGTTGTCCTGACCGGGGGAAATGCCCCCCACCTACTCCAAAATGGATGCGAAGATCCAAACCTCACCTTTGCCAATATGCCTCCTGGTGTTCTCGATGGTGGAGTTGCGGTTAACATTGGAGAGCAGCCCCAGGCAAAACCTGTTCTTGTTGTTGGAAGGATCAGTGAAGCCATCCACCAGGATGCTGGTTGAAGAAGCGTGGAACGCCTCCCCGACGCGGTTGTTCAGCTCATAGTAGACAATGGAGCACCAATGCTTCGGCTCTTCATAAGCAACTGCCTGGACATCTGTACAGCAACAATAGAAAGGTTACAGTCTGACAGTGCTGGAATACAGGCTTGAGGTGTAAAGAGTCATAAACTGCAGATTTTGGCTGAAGATCACTGATGCAGCTAAATGAGGGCTCCTCTCCAGTCATTTTGAACTTTTCATAGCCACAAACATATAGTAGAATAATTTCATCTGCACTGAAAAGGGACTAAGGCTGGTACTAGATATGAGCAGAAAAGTGCAGGAAGCTCCTGGGCACATACCAAGCAGTGCCCCACTATCCCTGCCCCATCTTCTTACAACATGCTATGGTACAAGTCCACACAGCAGAGAAATGCTGCAATTTACAGCTCAGCTTGCTTTCTAATTTAGTAGATGAACTTCTAGTTCATTTTACTCTACTAAAAAATGAAAGCTCACCTCTTTGCTTACTGCAAAGCTGTATTGTAACAGGGAGAAACAGCATCACACAGTGCACCAAACACCATTTCTAACTCTGGGGACAAAGAAGTATAACAAGGCAGTTAAATATACAGTCAATCTTTCAGCACTCAGAATGTGCCCAAATCCTCCTCCTGGGCTTTTTGGGGGAATGGTAGGAGACTTCAAAAATGTAAGAGAGGTTGGTATTTGTCTGCAGAACATGCATAAAGCACATCTGCAATATAAACAGATACTGCTTCGGATTGGAGGCTGAACAGGGAATAACACCTGGCAGTTACACTGGGCTGGAGAGCAGATGAAATGGAGGAAGATATTATTTAATGATGACCTTTCATTCATTAACTGCTACCATGAATGCAAAATCTCAACTGTTCATGACCAAAAGATTTACTTGTTGAATTATAGCAAGGATTCCTCAGAATGGGGTTTTTCAGACACTGGGAACAAGAAGCTCCTCCTCAGCAGCTCCTAACTGAAGCTGGGAATTGTGCAGGAAATTCCTGGTTCACTTGAAGGTCTTGAAGCAACCCTTGTGACTGTGCATGGGGAACAATTTCTCCAGATGATACCAATGGTCTTTACCAAAAAGTTTCCCAGTGGGTGTCCAACAACAGCATGGGCTTCTTCAGAAATCTCCACATCCTTTAAGGTGCCAAATACAGCTACAAATTAGAGAAATGCCTCCAAATAAAATGATGCTAGCTAAGGGATGTGGTTGTTTATGTGGTTTCTTTTGAATGAAGGATACTATTTCACTACTAAGCCTAGCAAAGTTGGACTTGCTGCTAAGATACCAACTTTGCAGATACCAACTACAGGTAAAAATCCTAAAATGAAAATCAGACTGGTGTTGTGGGAAAACTTGTTCTTCTGGCCAGAGGTTTCATTCTACCAGCTCCAAGTTTTTACAAAAGTCAACCAACTAAAATCAGCGTTCACATCTTCCTCTGTTCACAGATCACACCTTTGTGAGTTTCTGTTACATGCAAAACAAAAAAACAGAAGTCTCCCCCAAAAACCAGCAGTACATCATAGATACAAAAGGTGGCAAAACAGTCAAAAGCAGGATAACACATCCTACATCACCGTGCAAAACTTCTGAGCACAGTGTTTACTGTTAATAACTTGCTTGAAACACTGGTTTTAAGCTTATCTTTCTCAACACTCTGGCACTTTCTATCCCTTCACATCACTGTAAAAAAAAAAATTAAAAAAACCCTAACACAATAAAAAAGAATAAAAATCAGTCATACATTATTAGTAAGAGGTTACTACACTTTTAATTCCTATAAAGATGCCAGCGATTATCAAAGCTGCAGCTTTGCCCCAGTTCTCAAAGTCAGGAAGAAATCTTGCCAGCTGGCCATTCTTACAGAATTAATCATATCTCTCTCACACAGATTTCATACTGACTTCCTCTCATTTGCTTTAAGTCATGCAGAGCAGGTGCGTTTAGTCTCTCTATTCCCAGCATGGGCTAACAATGGAGATTACCCAACTTCATTGACAGGATGCCGCTTGTTAAATCAAATCTCTTAAGACTAACAAATCACCATAAAGAACATGCTCCTAAAAGGTTTGCAGCAAAAAATGGTACAGTAAGTTCACAGTAAAAACTCTTCTTTCACTATCTGCAGCAGATTTTTTTTAGAGAACTACAATCACAGCATGTATATATGAATAATAAACGCAAGAAGGCATAAAAAATACTTTTATTTTTTTTTAATGAAAGGACAGGGATGAAAATCTATTGTACTAAACTACTAGGAGGGGATAATCCTAATAAACACAATTTTTATTTTGAAATGGTTGAATGCTGAAAAGCAAGAAGAAAAACATAAACCCTTTTCTCTTTATCAACTCTCGTGTAATAGAGGAATTTTATGGTACTTATGCACTTTGGGAGAGGGGGACACATGCAAAAATTCCTGAAAAACTGTTCATATACACACAAAGTGTACTGGATCAGCAAAAAGTGGAAATGCTACAGATGCGGTTTATCACATGCAAAGCTCATTCCAAGCAGAGAGTAAACAGGTTAACACAAAAGCTATCTGAACTGTTTTTAAGAGAGCAAATATACTTCCTGAAACTGGACATAAAGAGGAGCAGCAAAACAAGCACCCAAAAAAAAAAAAAAAAAAAAAAAAAAAAAAAAAAAAAAAAAAAAAAAAAAAAAAAAAAAAAAAAAAAAAAAAAAAAAAAAAAAAAAAAAAAAGGAACAAAAAAATCCAAAACACAAGAGTTAAATTGTTCATGTGCTTGTGATCTTGATAATCATTCTGGCACAGCATCCCACTTGCTGCACTTTCTTGGCATGGGCCTCAACTATGTAAGCTCATGTGTTCTCTAAAGGGGCCATTTCTCACAATGTGATGAATGCACTAAATCCTTTACTCAGCAGTCACGGCTGGCTGCGAAGGCTTTAAAAAGCAATGTGTAAAAAGATGTCTTTGTCACAGTACATAAAGCAACAGGGTTTTTTTCAAGTACAGATTTTTAAAGTCTGTAGCAATGCCACACCTCAGGCAGACAACTCTGTGTTCTGAACCGAGAGTTATCACTGCATGACTCAAAGATGAAAGTAAAAAAGAGAGAGCAGAACAAAAAATACAAAAAAATTCAAATGCCCTTATAACCAGGAGAAGGGTAACTTATTAAAAGCAGAGCATACTCTTTAAGGACTGAAGTTTAGAATTCAGGACAAAACCATAACAAAAAAGCACAACTTTATAAGATGTACTGTCTCAGAGGAAAAAATACAGATATTTCAGTTGCCCATGTAACATGTCCCTGGGCATTTACGTAACTGACAGTATTAGTATCCATTCTCTGATCAAGTCTCTGCATGGAGAGCTATACTTGACTACATCTACTGTCATCCACAATTCATCTGGCTTTATATAGCATCAACTGCATTGTTCCAATAAATCAGTGTAATCGTAGAATACATAGAATAGAATAGAAAATATAAAATTACTTTAGCTGTTAAGCTGGTTGGAAGTAAGAAAGTAATAAATCCAACACATTTTACATTTTTAAGGAGTCATGGGATAGCTTCCTGTTGTAAATAAATATTTACATTTATAAATAATCTCCAGCTTCATTATTTCATCCCTTACAACAACATAAAAAAAAATTTTCTTTTTCTTTTCTGCAGATAAAAACTTCCATAAACAACATCCATCCAAAATTACAACTCAGTTACCACTAATAAGCTCTGAAGGTTCTTTACTCTTAAGAAGTGAAGCAGAAAACAAGAAGAGAGAAGTGTTTTTACCTCCTCTGTGTATGTCAGGAGGAATTGCAGGTGCCATCATGTTGGTATCCATTGGCTGGGAGGTATCGTGTGTCATCTGATCTTCCGGCGGCAGGTAAGCAGGAGGGGGAGTATCAGCTAAATATAGAAAAGGCAGAGATACACGAGTCCTTTCCTCTCTTCAAAGAATATCCACATATCCACATAAACAGTTTTAGCCTGGAAATGCTTCCAGCCTGAATCAGCTATAAACTTCCACCCACCAGAAATCTGAAAAAGCAATCATGGACCTTGAATCAGGAAAGCAAAGAATTACTGTGCATATTAATCACAACTGTGGTAAAAACAAGTCACTTCAGCCCCACGTAAAGCCATAAAAGAAAGCTCAGCTGTGTTTCCAGCCCACGTTTTTGCAGGTTGAAAGTGCCATACACACATTAAGGCACAAAGAGGTCCCAGCCACAAGTAGACATCAGTTATAGTAAATGTGAACAGAAGTTGGAGCAGAAAACTTTCAGTGTGAACTTACTCTAACACAATTCTACCAGCAAAGTATGCAAACATCCCAGATATATCCAGGACTTTATCATTGTCAGTGCAGTGTATTACCTCTGTTTCCCTAGACTGGGAACAGTAGAAAGTGTTCAGGAACCCAAATTCTACAGAAGCAGCTGCCTGGGTCTGGGATTTATCAGTCAGTGTCTCCATATGGTCCCATTCAGAACTGCATCACTGGCACAAACCCAGCCCATGTACAATGACTGGACCACTACCATACTGCGTTCAGCCCTGTTTGAAGCGTTCCAGCCAGGTACTCAACACTGCCCTTCAGCTGCCTATCCCACTTCTGGGAAAGCTTCCCAAAAGGTTTTTTAGAAGCTACAAGAAGCTGTACACCAGGGGACTCTCTCCTCCAAATCAATTGCAGAGAGGTACATGCAAGAGAGAGAAACCCTTGTTTTCGCTGCAGAAGCTGAGCTTAGGTTACCGCTGTGCTATCTGGTGAACACGGCTGCTGCTCATCCCACATTTACTTCCATTACTGAGAGTATGGATTGCAAACCACCATAGCAAATAATCACAGGGGCCTCCAAAACTCCTAAAATCAAATTAGCATCAATGAAAGGCAGAAGAATGCTTTGTAAGTTTGGGATTTTTTTTTTAATGTATTTTTTAAGAAAAGAAATGTTCATGAAATTTATTAACTACTTATTGTTTAGCAGGTATTTTGTTGAGAGCTTTACATCTAATGCTGGCGGGTACCTTGTTAATTCTCTTATCGGAATACCCTCAGTTGGATGAGAAAGCAGCAGAGAAAGGCAGAGATGACAACAGGGCTGCATTAAAAGCTTAACAGACTGCACTTGATTTTGAGTGTGTGTGCAAACATAATGTGAGTGATGCAACAGATTCTAGGGCCACAGGCAATAAATTAGCCAATATCTAGAAAGTTTTCAAGATCTCTGAATAACTGCTTTCCTTTTTGTTGTTGTTGTTGGGTTGTTTTGTTTTGTTTTTTGTTTGGTTGGTTTTTGTATTTTTTAATATTTTCCAAAAGTCAGCTCCTTTCCGCATTAGTGCAAGGTGGCTGTATCTGTATCTGTCCTTGACGGACATCAAGGACATCAGTATCCTGACCTCTCCTCTAATTCAATTTCTTCACTGCAGCTGCTGATGTTATGGACATGTGGACAGAACAGACCCTCAAAGATCAAGTGAGCTTCCACAAGCCAGCATTCAGGAAGACCTTGTTAGATCTTTATCTCTGCTGGAAGAGCCCCAACCACACCAATCATATTAAAAAAAAAAAAAAAAAAAAAAGACAGCTGTCTTCATGGCAACTTCTCACATTTTATTAGAATATAAACTCTCTTTCCTTTCTTTCAGCCTCTGCAAATTCAGTAGTCTTCACCCAGAGGAGGAAAATTTGAAAGAGAAGCAACTATCAACATCAGAAATCCATGGAAGTTAATTTCATGTAATAGGAAACAGATTTTCACAAGTCTGCTGCTTTGTTTACACGTGCCCTCCCTCAGCCCCTGAAGAAAACAGGCAAACAACATCAGTAAGCATTTGTACTGAGTCCTTCTCCCAGCATTTAAATCAAGAAATCTGTCACAGACTGCTTCTGCAGTAGTTTTATCAACCCCCATGTAAAGACCAAAAAAAGCAATTTAACAGAATTTTCTACAGACACCAGTCAGCAAAGAAAGCTTGTTATTTCTCTGACTTTAGCTAGCAAAACAGCTGAAGATTTCTTTCAAGGACCTGTTTTTCAGCTGAAGTATATTTGCATCTTGAAATTACATCACCATGTGAAGAAACTGTTATCAAGTAGCAATAACATGATCACCTCGGGAAATACCATTTTTCTGCAGAACTAAAACTTTGTGCTGAAGGTATGATGATCTCTTCAAGAGTGATCTCTAGCCTTACACTTCTGGTGCATTAAACACAGTAAGCTTTGTGGGCTAAACTGCTGAACTGGTCCCCGAAACATTTTGAATCCCTCCCCTCACCCCACAAGTTTTACTGCAGTAGTTTAACTGTGCTTGAAACAGGCATAATATTAAAACCTTCAATATTATTACCAGACAAAGAGATTATACAGTCTTTATTACCTTACATCTCTCAGCTTGCTATTGAACACAAGAGTTAGCAGGCAAAAAAAATGTGATACCAGTGATGTCCAACCACCTTCTCCCTTCTGAAGGAGAACCCAAGTTGACTGTACCTGGCATCTGGAAAGGACTTCCTGGGTCTGAGCTGGCTGGAGAATGTGGATAGGTGCTACTGCTGCTTCCAGGAGAGTTTGGATAGCTGCTGTTGGGTGAGTGGGGAAAAGGGTGGCTATTGGGTTGCTGAAAAGAGTCCGGGAAAGTAGCGTTGTGTGGCATGTGGGGCTCATTTTGTCCCAGGTTGCGGAACTGCGCCAAGAGGCTGTGCTGGGGGTTGTACTCGCTGTGCCTTGGAACCAGCACTGGAGGAAGGACTGGAAAGGGAAAAAGGGAGAAAAGCCAGAGTGTTAGAGACTCAGTTCTGAAGGCTATTTAGGAAAAAAATCCCACATTCTTCCTCCCCTACGGCATATTCACATCTGTCTTATAAATAAGGTAGTCAAATCTAGGGGCACATGTCTAAGCAAGAGCTCTTCCCTGCATCTGTTTACCTCAGAGCTCGAATTCATAGCGATCGTGCTGGATACCTGCTCTGCCAGAGGGGAGCTTGTTTGCACAGAGGGCCAGCAAAGAAGAGCCAAGAACAAACCGCTGCAGTGTGTTCCAGTTTTACTCGCACAAAGAAGTGCTGGGAAGTGAGCATGTTACGAGGCTGACACGATCCCGCTGATCACATAATGACCCGTAACCCAAACCCTTGTTAATAAGAACAGGTTTTTTTTTTCTCAAGACAATACTAACAGGCCTTGAACTCAGTCTGGTCCCAACAGCTGTAATTTTATTTTTAACCTGGACTATGTTCTTACAAGTCACTATTAAAATGGTTATTAACTCTTCAAGTCAGTTTACAAAATGTGCAATTTAAACAAAATCATGTAGTTCAGAAAAACCAACTGAGCAGCAATTGAGCTGCAATTGTATGCTACTGTGGGATCAGAGAAACACCAGAAACTACCAGTCTCACCATACTTCAGAAGCCTTCTCACCAGCAGAGAAAAAAAGGTCTCTTTTGAACTGGAAATATGAACATGATACCAGATACACTAAGATAAAAGAATCAACTCTTTTTCCAGTGCCTCAGCTTCTATCTTTGAGTGCCTCACAGCAAAGTCCAAGCTAACTGAAGGATTAAAAGCTAGTCTTTTTACAGAGATTTCTGGGAGATGGGGAGAAGAGGAGAGGCAAGGGCTGGGAGAGGGAGATCCATGCACAAAGTAGTGGAGGAGAAATGAAAAAGCTATTCCTCTTCACATCTTCCCCCTTTGGCACCTGTTTCCCAACTCCTTGGCTGAGCAGGACTGGAAGAAATCCCCCCCTGAATAGCCTGCCTTCAAGTGGAGATGCCAGAAAAACCAACAAATCCAGGAAAAGCAAGCCAAAGGTACCATCCTCTCTCCCTGAGACTCCTGCCGTGGCTCCAACACCTGGGCATCCAGAACAGGAACAGGACCATTTATATACAACGAGCCTATACAGACATAACTATCACTCAGGTGTTCTGGAGACAACTGCTTCATTAAAAGGCTGAATTACAAACTACATTGCAAACTTAAAAAA